TGCTATTTCGGTTTCGTCCTAAGCAGGAAAAAATGTTCGTATCATTGTAGGTCCAGATACTAGTTGTTTATCTGGTTATTTTCTCACGGCGACTATGTTTTTTTGCACAATAGAAAACGTTGGTTCACTTGCACATATCTTACTAGATAGTACGTTACTATGATCCAATTGCCTTAAATCTACAGTTGTTTCTATGACCTGGCCCCAGGGTTGATTTACGTTTGAGGCAGGATAAGGCGCTCCGCTTCGTGCAAATGCAGGCAACACAGCCCTCAATGGTTGGGCTTAAAAACAAGCTATATATCGGCAAACGATATTAATTTATTTGCGATTTAACGTTCCTACATCGTATTATGATGATCTCCCTGAATCTTTTGCACCTAAATTAAGCAGCAGGTGCAACGACCAGAACGTGCATTCAAATTGACAGCGAGCTTATTTGGAAAGGTATGTGAGGCAACAATTTCCTACTAATTAAATAAACCTTGGTACTTGTCTAATATCAAAGCAAAAAGCAAAAAACAGTTTTTCAGTAAAACTTTTTGAACATATTGGCTTACGGTAGTAGTGTAATGGTGAGCGTTGTGACGTGCGTATCCGCCGTTATCGATCGCACACGGGCTGCCGCTGTTGCTCATTTTCGTTCGAGTGCGGTCGCTAAGTGGTGTTGTTTTTTCCTCTGCTTACTTTATCTACATTAAACGCTATACTCTTGTGTTGAGTACTCAAAATTTTAAGGAAATCGTATCCTTTGCTTGTACGAGTAGTGCTGGATTCAATGATCTGTCGGTTTTTCAGGAAATGAGTGCTGAGGGTGAAACTGCTGTAGTTGCTCCCCAAGACGTTGAGCTCCCAGCAGTTGAAGATAGCGACCAGAAGAAAGCTGAAATAACTGATGAGAAGAAAGAGGCTAAGGACGATGACGTTAGTCATAATTAGGTTAGTGTACTGCTACATTGTTACAAGTCTTATTTTAGGTAGAAGAAAAAGAAAAGAAGAAAGAGAAGAAATCCCGTCGAGATTCGAGATCACGCTCAAGAAGCCGCTCGCGTTCTAGTTCACGCTCAA